GACCATTCTCTTACACCATACACAAAGATAAACTCAAAATGGATGAAAGACCTCAATGTGAGACAGGAATCCATCAAAATCCTAGAGGAGAACATAGGCAGTAACCTCTTCGACATTGGCTGCAGCAACTTCTTTCAAAACATGTCCCCAAAGGCAAGGGAAACAAAAATGAAAATGAACTTTTGGGACTTAATCAAGATAAAAATCTTCTGCACAGCAAAAGACACAGTCTTATTTTTTTTTTTTAAGATTTATTTATTTATTTGAGAAAGAGAGTGAGAGAGAGAGCTCATGAGCAGTGGGGAAGGATAGAAGAGACAGAGAGGGAATCTTAAGCAGACTCCCTGCTGAGTGGGGAGGCTGACTCAGGGCTTGATCTCACCACCCTGAGATCATGATCTGAGCCAAAATCAAGAGTTGGATGCTTAACTGACAGAGCCACCCAGGTACCCCAGTATCTTATTATTTTTGATGCAATTGTAAGTGTGATTGATTCCTTAATTTCTCTTTCTACTGTTTCATTACTGATGTGTAGAAATACAACAGATTTCTGTACATTGATTTTGTATCCTGCCACTTTACCAAATTTGTGAATCAGTTTTAGCAGTTTTTTGGTGGCATCTTTTGGGTTTTCTATATAGAGTATCTGTTGTCTACAAATAGTGAAAGTTTGACTTCTTTCTTGCTGATTTGGATGCTTTTTATTTCTTTTTGTTGCCTGATTACTGAGGCTAGGACTTTAGCACTATATTGAATAACAGTGTTGAGAGTGGACATCCCTGTTGTATTTTCCCCTGTTGAAGATGATGTTCACTGTGGATTTTCTTATATGGCCTTTATTATGTTGAGGTATGTTCCCTCTATCCCTACTTTGTTGAGGATTTTATCATGAATGGATGTACTTTGTTAAATGCTTTTTCCGTGTCTTTTGAAATGATCACATGGTTCTTATCCTTTCTCTTATTGATGTGCTGTATCATGTTGATTGATTTGCAAGTATTGAACCATCCTTTATATTGAATAAATCCCATTCGATCGTGATGAGTGATTTTTAAAAATTTTTTTATTATGTAATGTTAGTCACCATACAGTACATCATTAGTTTTTGATGTAGTGTTCCATGATTCATAGTTTGCATATAACACCCAGTGCTCCATGCAATTCGTCCCCTCCTTAATACCCATCACTGAGCTAACGTAGTGTTGGATTCAGTTTGCTAGTATCTTATTGAGAATGTTTACATCCATGTTCATCAGGGATATTGGCCTGTAGTTCTATTTTTTAGCAGTGTCTTTATCTGGTTTTGGTATCAGGGTAATGCTGGGCTCATAGAATGAATTTGGAAGTTTTCCTTCCTTTTCTATCTTTTGAAATAGTTTGAGAAGAATGGCTATTAACTCTTCAAATGTCTGGGAGAATTCCCCTGGGAAGCCATCTGGTCCTGGACTTTTGTTTGTTGGGGGTTTTTAAATTATTGATTCAATTTCTTTGCTGGTTATGGGTCTGTTCAGGTTTTCTATTTCTTCCTATTTCAGTTTTGGTAGTTTGTATGTTTCTAGGAATTTATCCATTTCTTCTAGGGTGTTACTTTGTCGGCATATAGTTTTTCATGATATTCTCTTATAATTGTTTGTATGCCTGTGGGGTTTGTTATTATTTCTCCTCTCTCATTTGTGCTTTTATTTTTTGGGTTCCTTTCTATCTTTCTCTCTCTCTCTCTCTCTCTTTTTTTTGATGTGTCTGCCTAGGGATTTATTAATTTTATTGATTTTTTTTCAAAGAAACAGCTCCTGGTTGCATTGATCTGTTCTCTGTTTTTTTAGTTTCTGTATCGTTTATTTCTGCTCTAATCTTTATTATTTCCCTTCCTCTGCCAGCTTTAAGCTTCATTTGTTGTTCCTTTTCTAGCTCCTTTGGGTGTAAGGTTAGGTTGTGTATTTGAGATTTTTTTTTGCTTCTTGAGGTAAGCCTGTATTGCAATATACTTTTCTCTTAAGACCACCTTTGCTGCAGCCCAAAGGTTTTGGACTGTCATGTTTTCATTTTCATTTGCTTCCATGTATTTTCTTATTTCTTCTTTAATTTCCTGGTTAACCCATTCATTCTTTAGTAGGGTGTTCTTTAACCTCCATGTATTTGTGTCTTTCCAAATTTTTTCTTGTGTTTGACTTCAAATTTCACAGTGTTGTGGTTGAGAATATGCATGGTATCTCACTCTTTTTCTTTTTTTTTTTTTAATTTTATTATGTTATGTTAGTCACCAAACAGTACATCATTAGTTTTTGATGTGGTTATCTC